TCCAAAATTAGAAGCTCGACAGCATATCACATATCATCAGATTCAGACTAGGCTAGGGAATGATTTAGAGCCCCAGGAATGGGGCTGGATACCCCAAAATGAAATGTTGGAACCAATAACAACATCAGACGAACTGCTCAATACAATATTTTGCACTGCTCCTCAGTTTGTGATCAGTATAATGGACAAATATCGCTCAAGAGCGGCAAAAGTGGCACAACTCAAAAATAAACGTTATGAAGAAAAATGAGTTTTAAAATTTTAATTATTTCAATGTTCATGTTTCAAATGTCATTTGACTACCACTAATGAGCTACTAATTTTGTGTTTTCAAAAAAGGTGATAATTGAAAGATAAGCCACTGTTGTTGAAACCAAATTCACAGTTTAAACAATACAGCCGTTAACTATTCTGACACATTTAGTGAAATTGATCACAAATTGAAAGTATATAGTGCCATAACTCGAAATATGCCACTAATGCTTAAACAAAGCGTTGCTATCTACTCATTTGTACCGCTATTGCTCACACACGACGACATTAATCTATGGTCAGAGGCATATTAAAAATATACTATTGTTATGCCATAGTGATACATTCATCATATCTGGGAGACAGTTTTAACTATTTTTATGATAGTCTTGTTTGATGAAATTATAACGAATTTTAAATAACATGCAAGTATATCAATGAAATTTGCATTTTTTGAGATATGCCACTATTGTCGCCGGTGAGCGATATGTCTCAACGCTTCATCATACCCATGAAAGTAATTATTAATAATAATTAATTATGGATGAAGAAAGTGAGTAGGCACCTGATATCCTTTAAGCTTAAGAGTCCAATGTAACAAACGAGGATGGCATTTGAAATTCAAGTTGAGCCACCAGAGGAGGAAGACGATGACGAACAAGAATATTAGGCAGCATACTTGTTACTTATAATAAAAATGACAAAAAAAATTAATTTTAATTGTAAGAAATTAATGATACATGATTGATAAAAAAATCTAATTAAAATGTATTTAACTATCTCATTTTAATATTTTATTATACTTTTCACACCGCAGTCTGTGAAGAGTATTGTGCATTTGGTTCCGTCCATCCGATGTCACATTTTTTGTCCGAACGGAAAACGATATCTTTTTGAAAATTTCGAGAAAATTCAAGCTCTATAAGGGGACGAAACCTATCGATTTTTAAAAAAAAAATCTGAATAAAAATGGGGGTAAGGGGGTTAAGTAGGGATAAAAAAAATTAAAACTCAAAAACAAAAAATGGCATCAACTTGAAATTTTTAGCAAAAATCAAGCTCTATAAGAGGAAAAAGCCCTTTGATTTTGAATAAATCTGATTAAAAATGTGGGGTTAAGAGGGGGTTGAAATTAAAAAAAATCATAAATCCAAAACGAAAAGCGATATCAACATGAAATTTTTAGCAAAAATCAAGCTCTATAAGGGGACAAAGCCTATGGATTTTAAAAAATGTGTGAAAAAATGGGGTTCAAGGGGGGTTGAAATAAAAAAATAGAAATCAAACACCAAAAGCGATATCTATATTGAATTTTTAGGAATGAAGCCTATTGATTCTGAAAAAATCTGAATAAAAATAGGGAGATAACGGGGGTTAAAATATTGAAAAAAATTCCTAACTCAGAAACTAAAAATGATATCAATTTGAAATCTTCAGGAAAACCAAGCATTATAATGGGATGAAGCCTATATTGATTGTAAAAAAAAAGTTGATTATGTCACCAGTTACGAAATGAAAATAAATAAAAATGTCTTTTTAGTTTTTAAATCGAAAAATCGAAAAAAAAAAAAATCGAAAAAGACAATGTGACATTTCACATTTGACAATTTGACATTACGTTTAACAACAAAAAAATAAAATTGTAAATTGCGTTTTATTTTGTAAATAATTGAACACAGTTATTGAAAGCTACCCAGAAATGTTGAGGGTAAAATTTTGACGTACTCCTTTAAGGATAACGAGTAAACACGTTTTTTTTTTAAATTATTCGAGAGTAATGTCAAAAATCAGATCGGCAACACATCACATGTCCCTTTTATTTTTATTACTACTATTGAAAAAAAAAAAACGTCGTAGGGCAATCAAATACAACAATTTTCTGAAATGAGTCCCCTAAATGCAAAACTCGGTATTTGACGAAATTTTCAAAAGTAATGTTTTGGCGCCGTTCAATTCCTTATGTCAAACTCTAGCATTCTCCTTCTAAAATAAGATGCAAAACTTCTTATTTCTGCATTAAAAACGTTTTAGAAAACGAAGACTAGATGCAAAACTCTGTATTTGCCTTCACTTGTCAAATGCAAAACTACGTAATTGTAACTTGCCAATGGCGTTGCGCCTAATAGTCAGGTGATTAGGTAAGTGCACGGGCACGTAGACATTTTAATTAATTCATTTGTAGTTTGCTTATTTAGGGAAGATTTTTTTGCTTGCATGTAATTTATTACACCTAATAAAAATGTTTTAATTTATATTTTTGTATCTTTAAAAAAAAAAAAATTGTAAGAAAATAAATGTTCTAAAATAAGACAACCATGCACTTATCGGTATTTGCAATTGTGAGTTGCAAAACTGGGTATTTTTAAAACATAAATGCAAAAAATCGGTATTTTAATTTTAAAAGTATTTTTTTTTTTAATTTTTGGTAGGATTTCGGAATGAAGAGCATAGTTATTTCAAAACAAAATCACTAGAGCCAACTAAAAACAAAATTTAAAACGAATACATATGTATTTTAATTACTGACAGCTTTTTGTCCTTCCTGAAAAATTTTGTAACTAGCAAATACAGAGTTTTGCATTTAGGGGACTCAAATATTTGATTAAAAGTACCTACAAAAGAATGATGGTGAATCATTTTTTAACCAAACACAATTTTATAAATAATCAAGTAAAAATTATAAAAAATCTCGCTCCGCTCGTCCCACAAATATTTACTCATTACACAAAATAAATCATTACATAAATAGCTATTTTGTTTTGTATTAAAAAGTTTATTTATTATTTGAAAAATTAAAGTGTACGTAGATATATTAGGTTGAACCTACTTCATAAAAATACATATATAATTAGCTACAGCTTTTTACAAACTCTTTTATTAAGTAATTAGGACATTGGGCCCGCGGACTAAAAAGTTAGAAACCCCTGATTTAGGAAATGTCTGATTTATGAATGTCTATAAATTTGATAGGGGTAGGTAGGGTTAAATTGACCCCTTACAAAAATAACGAAAAAAAAATGTTTAATTTTCTTTCCAAAATTTAATTGGTTATTCAAAATGAAAAAAATGAATCTATTGCATTTCATTCCATCAACTATTAGAATTATATCTAGCAATAAATTGTTAAATGTCTCCGTGGTACAACACGTACAGCGGCTGAAGGTGCCGAACAACGTGTCGTGAGTTCGATTCTGTCAGATCACGTGTTTTTTATTTATTAAAAAATATTAATGGTGTGTGGCGGGTTGCGAAATTAATAAATGAATTACTAATAATCTAAAATAGTGCGTGGCGAGTTGCGCTTGGACATTGCAGATGTAGCGACGTCGTCCTATATAACTTAAACAATGTTGACAAAAATATATAAATACACGAAAATATGCGCAAATTATGTATGCAAAAAAGTTTTTTAAAACGTTTAAAATAAGCATTACTAATCGGAGAACCCTGTACACATTCTGCCCTTCTATTAATTGTCAACAATGATAGCATACTTCTAAGAAATACTTCTTCGAAGTTAATCACCTATTTAACGACTTAATTACCAAATATTTGTTAATTTAAAAATAAAATCATGATTCATATCAGCTAATACAAGATATGACGATTACGAAGATTATCTACAGGTATCAAACATAATTTGATTTGAAAAATTGTAAATTAAATTTAAAAATATTGTCAAATTACTTTCTAACACTAGTTAATACCTAAATTAGTTATAGTGGGTTGGGATAAAGTATGGAACCAAGTAAATATCTTTAAAACGAAAAGGACGATATTTATAAAAGTTGGCTGGCAAGTACAATGACGCATAACGCATCTAATGCCATATTTTTTGTTACTACTGTACTTCCGGTTTCACCGGAAATACCCCCCAACTTTTTTAATTCAAAGGGGACACCCTGTATATTTTTGCAGATTTTTAAAGATCTTGTACGACACTGTACGAATTCGGAATAACAAAATCTTTTAAGATCTGCAAAAATATACAGGATGTCCCTTTTAAATTAAAAAAGTTGAGGGTATTTCCGGTGAAACCAAAAGTACAGTAGTAACAAATAATATGGCATCTGATGCGTTATGCGTCATTGTACTTGCCTGCAAAGTTTCATAAATATCGTCCTTTTCGTTTTAAATATATTTCCATACTTTATCCCAACCCTGTATATGGCCTCACCATTTAACTTAAAATTTTTAAAAGGCCTTATGTTTCTTATTTGTTATAGCTTTATTGCTACACTTAATGAATTTTTTAAAATTAGATTGTATTCTGTCACAAATCATTTAAATTTTCGTTCATAAGTATTTGTTTAAAACTACTCAACATTTGTCAAATTTTCTTTTCAACACTTTTTTTCTACATTGTCATTCATTGTTAAAATACCTTAACATTGTTGTAGTCTCGTCAGCTCTTTAAGTACTAAGTTATTAATCTGATAGTTTTATCACATGTTAATTTGTAAATTTCATATTCTCATATACAATTAATTGTTAAAATTTTTTTTTCACTTTTATCAAATTAAGTCTCATTGCATACTTTCTTACAGGCCTGATGATGGTCACTGACCGAAACTAGTCGCTTTTCCTGTTTTCATAACAATAAATAATTTTAATGGATAACCTTTTTATTTTTAAAAATATTCACTCATACATAAGATAAAAATTCAATATTCTGGTGTTTCCCTGTTGTTGATTCGAATGACCTGTTTTTTAAATGCGACAAATTACAAATTAAAAAAATCGCTTACCTCGTGTTGTGCAATATCCCAAGAATCTTTGATATCGGGATTCGTGTAATACTTAGGCATGGTTGCGTTTAGTTGATTTTCCAACATGCTCTCCACGTCATTTCTCTTAACGTAACCCAAAACTCCAACCACAACCTCGAGAACCAGTATGAGCAACAGGAAAACTGAGAACTGAAAGAACCAAAACCGATAAAAATACCCATCACAAATGAGAGGAAGAAATATACAGGGTGTTTATTAAGTACTTGTACAAACTTTAAATGGTGAATCTTTCACTTATTTTAAGGCAAAACGTTCATATGAACACATGTCCTAAACCTCTTAACTTTTGAGCTACAGGGTGGTAAAGTTTTCAGAAAAAAAATTTTTTTTTTCTAATAACTGTAAGAATATTGCAGATATTTTTACGAAATTTGGTACACGTCTCCTACGCATTATGATGCATTTTTTAATGTACAAATAATTTTATTATTTCTACCAGTGGCGCCCGTACGGGTTTCGTATTAAATATTTTTGCCGAAAAAAATAGTACGCCACTGCTTCATCTTAAAATAACAAATATTTTTGCAATCCTCATTTAGTTTTGAGCAAATTTGGTCTGATGAGTTTTTTCTCCGACGCATAGTTTTCGTCCGACGCATAGTATTCTGCATGGAACAAGTGAAAAATGTGTCTTTTATTGATCAATATTGTTATGTGATAAACTTAGATTATTTACAGACTTAAGACTAAACTACTTTTACAAATAAGTTAATAACATTTACAACAATTGCTGAAAATGCCCGCCGCCTACTGCAACGCATGCGTCAATTCGCCTTAACATTGATTGACGTACTCTTTCGAATATACCTGGTGTCTGATTAATAATGGCACACGATTCAAATATCCTGTTTCTTAGATCTTGCTCATTTTGAACGGATGTATTGTAAACTAGTGTCTTTAAGTGACACCACACAAAAAATCCAGAGGATTTAAATCTGGTGATCCGGGAGGCCAGGCTTGCGGTCCCGCTCTTCCTATCCAACGATTAGGATAATTCTCGTTCAGAAATTGACGTGCAGCCAAACAAAAGTGTGCCGGTGCGCCTACGTGCATGAACCACATCCTGTTTCTGGTAGCCAAATCAATTTCTTCTAAATGTTCAGGAAGCTCGTGCTCCAAAAATCTTCTGTACTCTTCGCCATTTAGCCTTTGTGGAAGAATGCAAGGTCCAATAAGGTGATCCCCGATAATTCCGACCCAAATATTTAGAGAAAAACGATCTTGGAAATTATTTTCTATGATAGCATTGGGATTATCCTCAAACCAGATATGGTTGTTGTGGAAGTTCATGATGGCGTTTCGAGAAACAGAAGCTTCGTCTATAACAAGTACATGGCCTAAGAAATCCGGGGTTATTAATAATTTATTTCGCAGCCAAACGCAGAAATCTACTCTGAGAGGAAAATCTCTAGGTAGTAATGCCTGTATACGTTGAATATGATAAGGATAAAGTTGTTGAGATTTTAAAATTTGCCACACAATTGTATGCATAATATTCAATTCATGAGCAATTTTGCTTGTGCTAGTTTGCGGGTCTTCTTCAATTCTATTTAACACAGCTTCTTCAATTTCAACTGTTCGAACTGTCGCAGGCCTTCCTGGGATATCAATTGTTCTTTTAAAGCTGCCAGTTTCACAAAGTCTTGCGTGAATATTGAAAGTTTGGACATGTGGAACCACCCGTTGAGGAAATCGGGCTTGATACATTCTTATTGCAGCTTGTGCATTACCGTGAGCCATTCCGTAGACGAAATGAATGTCTGCCATTTCTGCATTGGTATATTCGTACATTTTGAACACAATAATAGACAATAAATTATTACATACATACATTTTTAAATGACAAAAACCATGATCTTTTTTTTTAATAAACTGTCATAACTAATTCCGCTACCATGGAAACATCTCGGTTGTTTGCAAGACTTGCTATGCATGTATGTACAATTGTACATTTTAGCAATTTGACTCTGAAATAAAACGGATTTTATTTTTTAAAGCGTAAACTATGCATCGAACGAAAAAACTCAAGAGATTAAATTTGTTTAAAAATAAATGAGGAATTCAAAAATATTTTTTGTTTTAAGATGAAGCAGTGGCATACTATTTTTTTCTGCAAAAATATTCAATACAAACCCCGTAGGTATGGACGCCACTGGTAGAAAACATAAATTTGTACATCAAAAAATGCATCTTAATGCATAGTATACGTGTACCAAATTTCGTAAAGATATCTACAATAGTCTCACAGTTATTGGAAAAAATAGATTTTTTTCTGAAAACTTTACCACCCTGTAGCACAAAAGTTAAGAGGTTTAGGACACGTGTTCATATGAACTTTTTGCCTTAAAATTAGTCAAAGATTCACTATTTAAAGTTTGTACAAATACTTAATAAACACCCTGTATATAACAACGAACCCAATTAGTTTTAATTTGTACCTTTTTGGAGATTATATAGAATAAAAAATATACAGGGTGGCTCACGCTCAACGGGACGGAGCTTTATGGGAAAACGACCAAAGATATAAAAAATTCGTTTGGGAGGAATACGTAGGTTACAATTTAAAATTTGTTAGATGTATACAGGATGTCCCACATAAGAGAAAATATACAAAGTTATATTATTTTTAATGGAACACCCTGTTTTTTATTTTAGAATTAAAAACTAAATCAAAAATAATGTCAGTTAACTAAAGGTTCCCTATTACTATTATTATTAGTTTTCGATTTATTTGAATTTTTAAGGAAAAAAAGTCTCCCAGAAATTAATTGTTTACTCTTGTTTGAATAATTTTTAATGAACTAATTTTTTTTTCTTATGTGGGACATCCTGTATACATCTAACAAATTTTAAATTGTAGCCGTCTGTAACCTACGTATTCCTCCCAAACGAATTTTTTATATCTTTGGTCGTTTTCCCATAAAGCTCCGTCCCGTTGAGCGTGAGCCTCCCTGTATATATTTCATAGAATTTAAACAGGAATGTGACAACAAAATATCTAAAGGCGCGTTCTCACGGGTTAAGTTCATTTGACCGATTTTAGTTGATCAACAAAAGTTGAATACAACTTAAATCAATTGTTGTTCACACATTTTAGTATAAACTGAATCAGTGTCAATGTAAAATGGTGTCGAATGCAAAAGATGAACTGAAAAGAGTTGTTGATGTGAACAAAAGTCGTGAGAAACGTCGTTTTTGGGTGGGCCAGTGGATTCTGAAAAGAAATAGATTAGCGAAGCATCAGAAACCTTGCTAAGGGAGCTGGCTCTAGTGGATAAAGAAGGGTATAGAAATCATTTACGAATGTTTGAAGATAAATTCACGGAACTGCTTTCAAAAGTTCAGGATCGCATAAAAAACAAGCAATCTTACCAAGACTAAAGTTACAAAACTTACACATTTTATCTATCTATTACACATTCGACAAAAGTTGATTGTCTAGTTCAAACGTTTCAAGTCAAGCTTTAACTTGAAAACAATTCATGATGACACATCATTTGAACGATAAAAGTTTGACTGGGTCAAACTTTTGTTGAATAACTAAAAACTTGATCAACTCTATTAAACGACATGTTCTCACAAGAGTTTTCATTCAACTTTTGTTGATCAATTAACTTCGGTCAACTAAAATCGACTCGTGAGAACGCGCCTTAAGGAATTAAAATTCAAATTTAAATATATTAGGTATTCACTTTGTAGATGATTTATGTTTTGTGAGTAATTCAAGGAATTTGTATATCTCTCTTATTATTAATACGAGTACCATTGTATCCTTGTAGGTACACATCTTGATCCTTATTTGTTATGATAAAATCAAATTTTTAGGGGACTTCACTAAATAATAAAAACAAAATTGTTACTTACTGTGATGATCATGCAGTGATTCTCCTTGACGGCTCCGCAGCATCCAAAGAAGGCGATGATGAAGATTGTTATCCCGACGATTATGAGAGCAAGAGGTACCGAGTGATACCCCGCGTACACGAAGTGCGAATAGTGCGAGTAGACTATATAGACTATGGATCCAACGGTGAGGATTGCTATGCCAGAAATCTATATAAAATATACAAACACAATTTTAGGTTATTGGTAGGAATCGATCCTGTTTCTAAAACTGGTACTAAATTTTATCTTTTGATTTATTTTTACAAATTTTTGTGGGTTTTAGAGGGAGAATAAAACATGAGACAAAAAAGGAATACCTACATGTAAAATATGAACATGCATGTTTTAAATGTTTTAAGAATATCACAAAATAAAAAGAGTTAGATGAAAACAATAATTAGAAATGGGTATGATATATATTTCTCCCTTATTTAGCAAAGCTAATAGCATATTACAATTGAACAAAATTACAAAAAATATATCTATATCTAAAACGACATTCTCTAAAATAGGTAAAATGTACTCATATAAATATTATATTCTTATCGATACCCTTTCTTAAGACAAATATCAATCAGACTATTAAATTTAATTCTAAACTAGAAGATTTTTTAAATTATGTAGATTGGTACCAACAAAATTATTTTTCTTTTTTAAATGTTAGTAATGAGAAAGGGTATAAAATAAATAAGTTTAAATTGTCAAATAAAATATGTTTAGAAAAGAGCCCAAATAATTTAGTTTTTGTTAAAATTGGGGACCAGGCCGCCGTTGACGGAAACTATATTATAAAAAACAAAAATATTATTATTCTAAGTAATATTAGTATCCTCTCTGATGATATGGAAACGGAGTGTTCATCAAATTGTAAAAGATTTTCTTGAATCTGTTAGTTCAAATAAAGATAGTCCTCAAATTGAGGAATTAAATAATGATAATTTTCGGCAAGCTCTGAACCCCGAACGAATAACATAATTAATGTCTCTAAAACAAATACATTTAAAATTATTTATGTTAAAGCGCAATCTATGAACAACAAAACAAATCGTTTAGAATTAATTTTAAAATTTGGAGTGTCTCTTTGAATTTTGTGGAGTTACATTTAGCCTAAATAATATAATCTGTATATACAGGGTGTTTATTAATTGAGTGCCGATACATAAGGCTGTGAATCCTTGGGTGATTTTAAGAAGAAAAGTTAATATCAACATATGTCGTAAATCTCTTAATTTTTGAGCTACAGGGTGTTACAGTTTTAAGAAAAAAATATATTTTTTTTCATAATTTTCTTATCACTGCAGATATTTCTATGAAATTTTGTAAACACCTTTTAATCATTAAGGAGCATTTTTTGACGTATAAGATTTTTTTAAATTTTTACCAGTGACTTCCGTACGGGGTTTGAACTGAATATTTTTGAAGAAAAAAATGGTACGCCACTGCTTTTTCTAAAATCCAAAATTATTTTTGAAATATTCATTTATTTTTGAGCAAATTTGGCCCATAGACTTGCTTTCGTACGATGCACTGTGTTAGCGTAAAAAAAAAAACAAAATTTTTTTTTCTTAAGCTGCTTTTGATTTTTTGTTGAAATTTGGTAGGCACCCACCATGCGTGAAAACACTTATTTTGGGGCAAAAATTAATTTTCTACTTCCACCAGTGACGGCCACGTAGGCATCATATTGAATGTTTGGATAGAAAAAAAAACGTACACCTCTGATTTTTGTAAATTCTATGTATTTTAAAAATCGGGATTTATTTATAGTAAAATGAAAATTCAAAATCTTGAATCTAAAACGAAATTACAAGAGAATACAAACAAAATAAAGGACCCAAATTATTTACAGTAATTGTTGGAAGTGTCCTCCACCCACACGTATACAAGCATCTACTATTCTTCACATAGACTGACGCACATTTTCAAAGATTCCTGGGGGTCGATATAAAAGAAAATAAAAACTTGCGTGAAATGACATTCCGGTGACAATCTCCGGCGAGTCGCCAGCTTTTTGGGCTTTCGCCGGTGGATCGCCGGCGAATCGCTGGGATACGCCGAAATGAATCTCTGGCGATCGACTATGCATACGGCTGTAAGCTTTTCAGATGCCCCCAGAAAAAGAAGTCTAAACTATTAAGGTCGGGAGATCTAGGCGGCCATGACTGCGTTCCTCCGCGACCTATCCACCGATTGCGATAGGTGTGATTTAAAAATTCACGCACTCGTAAGCTAAAATGTGGAGGCGTACCATCGTGCATTAGCCACATCTGGTTTCTTAATAAAAGAGGAAGGTCTTCAAGCATTGGCGGCAGATCATCTTCAAGGAAGTGTAAATATGATTGTCCATCAAGTCTTCTTGGGAGAAAAAATGGGCCTATCAAATAATCATCAATAATGCCAGCCCAAATATTTAATGAGAACTGTTCTTGATGATTTGACTCAACAATTGCATAAGGGTTTTCATCCGCCCATAAATGGTTATTATGGAAATTTATTATTGAGTTTCGAGAAAAATTAGCTTCATCGGTAAAAAGAATGTGCCTGTCAAATAATGGATTTTCTAGCAGGTTTTGAAGAAACCACTCACAGAAATTAATGCGCAACGGAAAATCTCTAGGGAGTAATGCCTGGACTCTTTGAATGTGATATGGGTATAACAAATTTTCGATGAGAATTTTCCAAACAAGTACATGTGAAACATTAAATGTTGACGCGATTCTCCTCGTGCTAGTTTCGGGGTTCTCCTCAATTTCATGTAAAATTCCTTCTTCAAGTTCCGGTGTTCTTACTGTTTGATGGACTCCTTTAGCCCTGTGGTCTACTTTTAAAGTTCCGGTCTCGTGAAGACGTCTATGAATCCTAGAAAATGTTCTCGGATCGGGTAGTACGCGATTTGGATACCGCTCTTGGTATATCCGTCTGGCTTCGTATGCATTTCCGTCTGCAAGCCCATAACTAAAATGCATGTCAGCTAATTCACTGTTCGTAAAATTTACCATTTTTTTTCAGATTTTAACTCTTACTCTAATAATAATTATTTAATAATGTAAAATCAATGTCAACTTTATTTTCTTTATGAAAAGAAACGTCAAAAATGATGACGCTTTACCCAGCCTACAAATGTTTATTTCATTTCCTTTAAGAGGGCAATAATGCGCTTACCATTTTTTTCTATTCAAAACGTAGAAAATTAATTTTTGTCCCAAAAAAAATGTTTCCACGCATGGTGGTTGCCCACCAGATTTCAACAAAATATCAAAAGCAGTAGGTATCAATGAATTTAAGGAAAAAATTTGATCAACCACTACAATGGTTTTTATTTTTTTACGCGAAAACGGTGCATCGTACGAAAGTAAGTCTATGAGCCAAGTTTGCTCCAAAATAAATGATGATTTCAAAAATAATTTTGGTTTTCAGAAAAAGCAGTGGCGTACCATTTTTTTCTTCAAAAATATTCAGTTCAAACCCCGTACGGACGTCACTGGTAAAAATTTAAAAAAATCTTATACGTCAAAAAATGCTCCTTAATTATTAAAACGTGTGTACAAAATTTCATAGAAATATCTGGAGTGATAAAAAAATTATGATAAAAAAGTATTTTTTTTTTTAAAACTGTAACACCCTGTAGCTCAAAAATGTTAAAATGTAAAGTGAGTTACGACATATGTTGATATTAACTTTTCTTCTTAAAATCACCTAAGGATTCACACCCTTAAGTATCGGCACTCAATTAATACACACCATGTATAGATCGCCTGACAGTTCCACTGAATTATTTTTCGTACTGGCTAGCCGACTGCCGGCGGTAGTTGAATTTAATAAAACGAAAACCGTTTTCCGGCGGCATGGTCTTATCACATATAAAAAAGCCGCCGAAAATCTAAACTGATTTGTTGATCAAGGCGGCATGCTATCAGTGCATTGATAAATGCCGCCGGACGACGGTCTACTGTATTTAAAATATTGAATGCCGCCGGAAAAACTGACATAAGCTTATTTCTTCCATTTCTATGTGAATTTTCACTTCTTGAATATTAATTAATTATTGGACTTTGTTTTTATTTACTATTCTTGAGATTGTGATCGAGTGAAGCTAGTGGTGTTTGTTGTTCCTGAGTGATAAATATGAAGTTAGGAGACGTATTTGAAAGTTATGAAGACTTTTTAAAAGACCTGGATAATTATTCCAAACGAGAATTTGTATCCTTTTGGAAGAGAGATGCCAGCACTATTTCAGCGGCCAGAAAAAAAACCGAGCGTTTTCTATATCCAAAATTAAAATATTATCAACTGAAATATACATGTATTATTGGTGGGAGAACGTTTTACTCGACTGGAAAAGAAAAGATAATAAAATGACAAGTTAATAATTTGAAACCACTTTTATTTGAGAATAAAGTCAAGTAGACTATGCTGCGCTTAATCAGCACGCAAGTGACAATTATTTTCACTTCCTCATAATAATTTCTACTAACTGCTCATAAGGATTTAATTAGAACTGTTGAATGAAAGACAATAATTTATCATTTTATACAAGTTTTCAAAGCTTGGATGATGTTATTATGTTTTTAAGAGGCTTAAAGGAAACGTTTATTAACTTAAAGAAAAGCTATTCTATACCCACATTACATTTATTAATCTGATGTGGTACAAATGGTAGAATAGCTGGCATACACAGGTAAGTTGTCTATGCCAATAAGCGACATTTTTCAACACTGTTTCTGCCTTGTTTTTTCACTGAATCATAAGTTGTGGTAAAGTATAAAATAAAGGCGATATTTTGTTTGGTATGAAGAAACACCGCCACGCCGGCTGTTCCATATTGTAAATTTAAATCGATGCCACCGCGATTTCACAAGTGTTTTTTCTTACCACCCCGGCATTCAATGTTTTAAATACAGTAAACCGTCGTCCGGCGGTATTTATCAATGCACTGATAGCATGCCGCCCTGATCAACAAATCAGTTTAGATTTTCGGCGACTTTTTTATATGCCGCCGGAAGACGGTTTTCGTTTTATTAAATGGGCCCGTTCACTTTCATTTTTGAATGTGAATTGATTATATATTTATAAAGATATTAAACTCTTTTGTCTGGTGGTACTTTTCCCGTAAAGATATTTTTGCTAGAAGTAAGGGAATTCCCATAAAATTCTTTCAGTGACTCATT